CAGTTCATTTCTCAGGAGACTCATCCCTGCTCTATTATTACCCAGAAAAAAAAATCCATGTTAGTTCCTCTGGACTTTCTATAGTGTCAATAAAGAGTTACCCAGTGTAACTGGACTGCATTCACAGAATCACAGAATGGTTGAGGTTGGAAGGGACCTCTAGAGATCATCTAGTCCAACCCCCTGCTCCAGCAGGGATACCTAGAGCACATGGCACAGGGTGGCATCCAGGTGGGTTTGGAAGATCTCAAGAGACTCCACAACCTTTCTGGGCAGCCTGTTCCAGGGCTCTGTCACTCTCACAGGAAAGTTCTTCCTCACATGGAGATGGAACTTCCTATGTTTCAGCTTGTACCCATTACCCCCGTCCTGTCACAGGCCACCACCGGGAAGATATTGGCCCGATCCTCCCTACATTCTCCCCTTAGGTACTTACACATATTGATCAGATCTCCTCTCAATCTTCTCTTCTCTAGGCTAAACAAGCCCAGCTCACTTAGTCTTTCCTCTTAATACAGATACCCTGAGCCTTTAATCATCTTTGTGGCTCTCCACTGGACCCTCTCTAGAAGCTCCACATGCCTCCTGTCCTGAGGAGCCCAGAACTGCACACAATGCCCCAGGTGCAGCCTCACCAGAGATAAGAAGAGGGGCAGGATCCCCTCCCTCGACCTGCTGGCAACGCTCCTCCTGATGCAGGCCAGGATCCCATTGGCCTTCTTGGCCATGATGGACTCATGGTTAACTCGTCAACCAGGACTCCCAAATCCCTCTCCACAGAACTGCTTTCCATCAAGTCAACTCCTGATCTGTCCTGGTGCCTGGGGTTATTCCTGCCAAGGTGCAGGACCCTGCACTTGTCCTTGTTGAACCTCATGAGGTTCCTCCATGCCCAACTCTCCAACCTGTCTAGATCCCTCTGAATGGCAGCACAGCTCTCTGGAGTGTCAGCCACTCCTCCCAGTTTGGTATCATCTGCAAACTTGCTCAGGGTGCACTCTGTGCCCTTGTCCAAGTCATTGATGAACAAGTTGAACAGCACTGGACCCAGTCCTTCCTATGGAAGCACTTAGTTTCCTAGACAGGCCATGAGTAGGAGCATACAACCAACCTAGACTGGGAAGATGTCCTTTCGGGTAGCTCCAGGGACGTGCACCTCTCTCCAGTAATGTTACAAGAGAAGAGGTGCTTTTGCTCAGGGGTCAGGTCACTCTGCAGAACTAACGCTAAATTATAGGCGTTAAGTTTCTTTTAAAGTTAGGCGTCAATATCAAGTATGCTGCTTGCTCAAGTACACACGTTTTTTTCCCCCACCATGTTTTATGATTGTGAAATAAAGATACCACTGCTTCAGTTTAGCACATTCTCTAACTGTAAGTCAGTGAAGGAAGGAAAAATTCAGGGCAGTTATGACTAAGCTATACTTTGCTGTAAGTATCTGCAGTCTTAGCTCCTGATTTTACAGTTTTCTCTATTGAAAGTAATATTTATGCACTGAGCTGCATGGAGAAAAAGGCACAGATTAGGGAATTACTTCAAATGCTTTGGCATTGCGTCCCAGATACATTAATTTTTCATTGCCTCATTTAGGGGGAAAAGAAAAAGAAACTCAGGTACAGCAAAAGTATGTAATGAGGACATTCCATTCAGGCAATGAGAAGATCAAGCATTTTCTTCTGTCAGTACTTGTAATTATTACCATTAACATCCTATTATTATCATCAATTTTTTCTTTATAATATTTCCTTAAAAATGATCCAGATTGTCTTCTCAAACATATATAAGTTTTTTATTTCACAGAGGCTAGATTCACCCACAGTTGAAAATATAATCAAAGTTTACATGGAAGAAGATTTTTCTTTTCAAACTCTGTGTTCTGTCATAAAAATTTGGTGTTGAACTTGAACTGCAAGGCCTTGCATTCCTAATGACTAAATGGGAATCCTAACAAGTGAAACAGTGCAATTCGCAATGCTTGTTTTCTTTTACGCTCGTGACAAACGACAACTACAACTTCTAGTTTTTCCTACAAATGACAGGAATAAACCAGAGAAGTGCAAATGTTTGTCTTTGAATAATAGTGAAATCAGTGCAAAGTACGGTGCAAATGGTGTCCTGCAGGGTGATTCGGATCGGGAAGGTCATCCAGCTCCACAGCAGCCCCCGAGGCAGCCCTACGGCTGGCGGCTCCAGATCCAGCTGAGGCGTTAGCAGAGGCGCGAGCCAAAGAGCCAGCAACGAACCCACACGCCAGCGCAGAAAAGCTCTATTCCAGAATTTGGCATCTCCAGCTGCCAAACATCTCCCATCTGGCCAAATTTCTGGAATGAGGTGTTAAGAACAGGGCTAAATTATATGGGAGCAAAAGCAGCGCTGTCTGCAAGACCCCGGGGTGAAGGAGCACGCTGAGCGCGCCAGCCTCTGGAACTCGCACATGCTATCGCTTCTCCGCCTCTGGAATACCTTTGGATCGGGAGAGGCCGCATGGGCAAAGGGTGAAACGCTCAACATTTCACAGGAAAAGAGCAGCTGACACATAGGAACTGCAGCAACAGCCCCGGCCTCTGGCAGCGGATGCAGATGATGAGGGTGGGATTAATACGCTAATCCCTATCCATCAGGTGGATCCTATCTTCGGTGACTAATTTGTAATGCGAATAAAAGCACCTTTTATATTGAATGAGACTAATGTGTTTGCTTCCATTTAATTACATAATAGAAGGATTAATCTGAGGAACTTACAGACTTCAGCCAGTTTCATGAGCACAGTAATGAGGTGGAAGGCGCCCTACAAAGGTGATCCTCTGACACTTTGTGATCCACTCTATCCTACCCCCTTCACAAAGAAAATTAATAAAGTTTTTATACTTTCATAAGTAAAATTCCATAATTTTAAGCCTAATTTAAGGGAAAAATAAAACTAAAAGTAAAATGAAGAAACCCAAACTGGAGATGCATGAAATATCATCCAAATGAAACATACACATAGACCTGCGTTTAACTGTAACAGAAATGAACTCATTTCTGACAAGCAGTTATTGTTTCTAAACTGGAATAGCTCTGTACTCCAAGAACCAAGACCAGCCGTGATAAATTCTTCTATCAATGGGAACAGTTTTAAGTGAAGCATATAAATTTATAATTTTAAATGATACACTGACTTATATACTTATCTCATTGGCATCATTTCCACCTTACGCTCTACAGATACAAGTCCTCATGGTCTAAGGGAGGTTTGCCAGACGTGACGTTCTCGAACAATTTGCTTCATTAGTTTAAAAAGATATAGTTGACCCTATACTTTCTGATTGTATTAGCAATTATTTTCGTCACGAAAAAATTGTATATTACAGCCTCAGCTCACTCTGGTCAGAGTTTCGTTTTGCACAAGCAGTACCCAAAATGAATATTGCCTACATATATATCTATATATAACCCACACATGCTGCTGCTGTTCAAGGAGTCCTATTAGCAGGACTCACATTCACTGTTATGGACCAGGTCTGTGTATTCACTAATTCATAAGCTACAACATGGAAATGATGAGAGGAGATTCATAAACTTTTTTTTTTTTAATTGACAACATAACACTCCCTTATAGAAGTTTTCCTAAACAACAGAATTTAATAGAATGGCTAATTACAGTAAATATTATTTTTAATCACAGTCTAAGGAGCCTCCACCATAAAAAGTATCAGAGATATGTCTTTATTCTAGAAACACAGAACTTTGGGAAATTAGTGGGATCTTTTTTCAAAGAATCACCTATAAAATTGCACTGATCTTTTCAATTAGATCAAACAAAATGCTAAGGATTTTTAAATATATATATATTCTCAATGCATCAAATTCTCTGATTCTTTTAATAATGTGACACTTTCATTACTACACAAATGTTAATAGAGAAGTTTCTGTTGCTACTTGGGAAATATCTCAGTAACAAGATTCAGCAAATTTTTAATATAAATATCTGTTATAATGCATTTAACTGTAAACTGAAGATATAAGTAGATTTGAGGAATGACTTCTGTATTTGGCTGCTCATTAGCAATTTGAAAGTGCAATTGCTTTTAAACATTATACCTTTTTAATTTTCTTATGAAGCTTAGATCTACTCATACAAATGAAGAATTGGATTTTTTTTTAAGATTTTTTATTTGATTATACAGAATAGATGGAGTCGTTTTTACTTTTGCACTCCAGAGATCAAGGGCCCACAGATAACTGAAAATAAGTAAGAAAGACCTTCCATAAGGAATTGATGGGCTCACACATGTGAAGCAGTGAACACATCCTCGCAGGAAGCCTTTTGGGGTCCATCAAACAAACGCAGGAAGAGGGAGGGACAAACAAACCAACAAGCACACACGAAGAGTTCCCATTTCATTGAACGCTGTTTTAAAATCCAAACAACCAAGAGCAATGAATCCAACCAGAGCAGCAACCCTATCGATCGGCGTCGTTTCTGTCATCATTTCTACCTGTGCACGTGCGGCACAGACGTGATGCCGAACGTCTAGTGATGCTGAACTTGGCTTGAATGTGAGCTGAGTGCTCTGGAGGTGGGCACCTATTGGGCTCATGGCATGGGATGTTTTTAAATCTTAGCCTCCTTGGAAAAAAAAAAGCAAGGAGATATTTGCAAATACTGTCTCCTGCATTTGACAGCTCATTATAACATAAACTGTGTTGACCAGCACTGATTTTGTTAGCTTTGTGTAAAATGAGACATACGTTTAATGTCTCTAGGCTATTTCAGACATTTTAACCGCATTATGAAACCTCAGACAGATTTTTTTTTCTCTTCTCGTATTTTATTTACGAGGACTTGGAAGATTTCCCATAGCACATGCCACCACCCAGCCAGCCCCCAAAATCAAATTCAGACTTTGCCCAGTCCCGGCCATGACACAGAGGGAAAGAAAGCCGAAAAGAACTGCTACTAGACTTTGTCAATAAAACAGAACATTACATATAATACACAATAAAATGCTTCATACCTGGAGTTGAAAAAACGAAAAGGGTTAACAGCTGACCTGGCACAGCCCCACATGCTCTCTCTGGAAATTGAACACAGACAATTAGGAATTTTTAGTTACCCCAAACAACTGCAGGGGACTTACACAAACTCGAGGAACACTTTCTGCCAAACAAGCACATAGCCTCAATGTGGAAAGGACTTCCAATTTTCCCATTCACTTAAAACTCCTTCTTAAACCAAAATTATTCTGCAGAGGCGTCAAATAATATTAGGTAAATCATTAGGAGTTCTGCCATTGATTTGCATGGGAGCAGAGTCCAGGCTTAAGGGTCCGGGTGTCACTTGGTGGTAATTCTGGATCA